TAAAAATAAATAATATAATAAATATTAATAATTTTTTATTAGTTTTTAGTTTTTTATTTTTATTACTTATTATTTATTTTATTACTTATTAGTTTCTTAAATTTCATTAAGAAAATGATGTAAAAATTATAAATTACATTATAATTTTATACATAAACAAAGATATTCCTATATTTTTTTAATAATAATATATCATAATAATAAATCATGATAATATTAAATGATAATAAATAATATTATATAAATATTTAATAAATAAAATAAATAATAGATAATTAATAAATAAAAGTAAAAAAAAATATTGAATAAATATTCAAATAATTTTACAAATATTCTATATAATTCCATATATGTTTACAGATGAAAGTTCTCTTGATTCAAAGATGCCTGTGCGTTTTAGACTGGGTTTAAATAAACAAGATTCCAGAGAGTCAAAAGTTTCACGAAAGACGTCTAAAAGACAAGGTCGCAAGGTAAATCATAAAGTCAATTTGACTGTAACAAATACAAAACATATTTTATAGTATAAAAGTTATACTTTATAACATATATACAATTTGCATCTTTAAATTAAATTTTAGAAACATAATATGTGTACACAATTTCATGTATACACTACTAATATTTTATTTGCTATGTTTGCTAGATTTGCTATATGCCAATATTTTTGGCTTCAATAAATTAATTGTATCAAATATTATAAAAATATTGCAAACTATTGTTAATTCTCTTTTTTAATAATTAGAATCATAAAAATGGATTAAATAAATGTATATAATTTATATTCACAGTAACAAATTTATGTAGAAACTTTATTACAGATAAAAACTACGAAAAAAATAATTTTGTTATGATAAACGTAAAAAATTACTTTTGAAAAAAATTTATTTATCTTTTTATCACTTTTGAAAATATAACTATATACGTTAATTTTTGACGTTTAAAATTTTAATTAATTTTCTTAATAACATCACATTTATAATGTTTAATGATAATGAATTATATGATTTTGAATCATCATTTTATATTACTTAGATAATACTTGTATGTATGAACTTTTTAAACATCATCTTAAAAACTGGATAGTACAAAATAAATATTAATTTGTGTCAAATGTAGCATTTAATATTTCACAATATAGTAAAACATATTTAAGAATATATTTAATATAATAAATTGTTCATTAATAGTTTCTATTTTTTTATAATTATATCATTTTGTTATTTATATCATAATATTAAAATAATTTAAATAAATTGTAGCAAAATAAAAAAATTTTTTTTGCTACAAGTTTTATAAATTAAAAATTTCTCAATATAATATATTTGTATAAATATCTCCATTATTTGTAAAACAAATATAATAACTTTTAATTAAAAATTTCAAATAATTTAAAAAATAAAATCATTTTAAAAAATATTTCTATAAAATTAATACAATTTTAGATTATTTTCAAATTTATATGAATATTGATATATTAATATCACTTATTTATATTATCAATTTTAAAAATTAATATTTTTAAATTTATTGTATTAAATATACTTTCAACCAATAAGTTTTAAAATGAATATGCAATTACAATCATCTTTTTTTTATTTTTTCATGTTTTAATAATATCACAGTTCATAACTTATTATTTTAAACATATTTTTTAAGTAAAAATCTTAAATAAAAATAGCATAATAAATATTTGTAATATAATACAATAATTTACAGACAGCATTTTTTAAATATTGTATAATGAATTATATATACATATAGTAAATATATTTCATATATTCATATATGTATATTTAAAAATAAAGAATATATAAAAATGTTTATAATATTTCACTTTTATTATTATTATGAAAGCAAATTACATTATTTAATTAATAATAATGTAATAATATTTATTATAATATAATAATAATTAATAATAATTAATATTAATTACATTATATTATATTATATAAATATTTTATATTATAAATATTCAATTTTGTTTTAAAATATTATTTAAAATTTTTTTTATCTTATTTTTATAAATGAATAAACATTATATATATAGAAATCATATATGTATAGAAACCATATATACATATACTTTATTTAACATTATAATAATATTTAGAAATAATTAAAGAATATATATAGCTGAAATCATTGGACACAATTGTTAAAAAGTATAAATTTTAAGGAAAGTAGAACAGATATATTTGAAGTTATTAACAAATATTAAACAGAGCATTAAAGCAATTTTTTTTTAATAAAGTTTAAAAATTATAAAATTATAAAAATAATTATAAAATTTTTAAAAAAGTTCTTATAAATTTAGATGAATTTAGTTTCTTTTATCAAATGATAAACGTATCTACTTTTTTTTTTTTGTTTAGGAGTAAACTAAACGTGTGTTCTTCTGATTGCTTATATATATATGAAGAGTGCATAGCTGTTCATCTTACCTCCTATTTTATTATCAGCATATGAAGATAAAATCTATTAAAACTTTAATTGTATTAAAAATTGCACTCTTGTAGAAGAAATATCTGTTTTATTTGGCGTGTGATCTAGCATAAAAATGAAAAAAACATTCTTCTAGAAGACAATATCAATATTTCAAAGTACTTTTATGTATGATTGTATCTAATTATTTATTGTTAAGTGTTATAGTAGATAGTTGATTATATGTGATTATAAATCATTTGTTGTGTTAAAGTATTTGTAAATAATTTACATCAGTCACTCATTTAATAAATAAGTATCATTAATAATCAAAGTCCCAAAGTCACCTTTTGTAAACCTAAGTATATTAGTATTTTAAAAAATTCTGTATAAAGGAATCGATTGTAAATAAGAATGTTGTTAATAAGCGTGCAAAGTGAAAAATAAGTTGTATATCATGTAAATTGAGTTACTAATAATATTAAGATATTGAATACACTATATAAAGTGACTTCTATAGCAATAGAAAAATGATTTTATTAAAATATATTTTATTACATAGTTTAAAAAGTGACAAGCACGAAGATTTGAAATTTGAAAAATGCAGTGTACCTTAAAATGGCTTTTCTCTGCTTGTTATTTCATACTTGAATTATTACATAGTGCAAATGATTATATTATATTTAAGCAAAAATAAGAGGGTGTATATCTACATATAAAGATTATATATGTAATTAAATAATATTATGATTCAATTATTAGAATTATATAATTTTCCAGAATTAAAATATTTAGTAAATTATAATAATTTTAATTTTTCATTATATTTTCTATTATAATATTTTAGAAAAATATGGTTTTTTTTGTATTTTACATGATATAATTATGATTTTCTCATATAATTAGACTTTATCATTATACCTATAATTGTTTTATTTTTATAAATAGCATAAATAGCATGTAAAATACATATTGAAAGTAAATTAGCATCATATGTTATTAATAAGTTGATTTAGTAGCTAATACACTTACAAATGTAAATTTAGATTATTTCAGATATTATATTTCACATATGAGATAGCATACTTCATAGTATCTATGAAGATGTAAGTGTTATTTTTAATTAAATAAAAAGATGATAATTACATTTATATGAACTTTTTTTAATAGAAATTTTGATATAAAAATATTTATATATAATACCTTAGAATAAATTTATATGATTCTGAAATTTATATAATATGATTCTCATAAAAAATTTAATCATTATGCGTATTATGATTTATATTTTGTTAGTCATATCATAATGATATTTATTATTATAATTTTAAATATACATTAAGAAGGCAACATATGCCTTGTATCAATCAAATTATGGTTCTTATATTTTTTTATTTATATGCCTTTATGCATATGTTTTAAATATCAACTCCAAGAGTTGAATAATTGATATATTATTGTTATAAATATAAAATAACTCAAAAGACTTGCAATTGTTGAATTTATCTATCGTACAAAATGTGATACATAAAGACTTTTACAGTCTTATTAATAATAAGAACATCACTTATTGTAGAATAACACCAATAATTTTTCAAATTTATCTAAAAACAAATCATAATAATATAATACATAATTCATGAACATAAAAATTTATTTGATATTATATTTAAATTATTTTTCTTAATTCTTAATTTTTAATTTATATGCATTATTTAAATAATTATTTTTTAACATAACATAAATATGATAATAAATATATATAACATATATATGCACGAAAAATAATATAATTCTTTTATAAATTTTACTTATAATTGTGTTATTCTATAATAAGAATGTAATAATAAATTTGTAAATTTGATTACTATTGTTATGATGTTTGATTTATTTATCTAATTTTTGTCACTGTAGTAAATACAGATGGAATTTTATAATTAAACAATTTTCATAATAATTTACAAACTTGAATGGTAAAAGATAACAATAATTTGCATATTTTCATTTTAATATTTTATTATTTATTACATTATTATAATAACTTTATTATCTATATGATTTTATTATTATAAATCTAATTTTCTTTTCCATCTGTAATTTGCTACATAAATTATTCTTATTATTGCGTACAATTGTACTATTTGTATAATTATGTACTTGTACTTACATTTTTTTACAAAATAACATATAGGTTTTAAACTGTTTAGACATAACAAAATACAAATCTCAAGTATTAATATGAAGCAAAATCACTGATATATAATAATATATAATTCGTATTATTTAAAATCACGATTCTTATTTCAGAAAAATATAAAATAAAATATTTTTGACTTAATTGTTTAATTTTATTTTTTATTATCCTAAAGCTTATGAGAAATAATATATCTTATCAAATATAATTACAATTATTTTTAAACTATATAACTATAAAATAAAAATTATGTATTATTTTTTTATATTGTGTATAATTTATATTTTAGCTATATTAATCAATATAATTTAAATTATTAATATAAAGTTTATTAAATTATTTAATAAATTATTTAAATGCTAATTCCAATTATATTTTGTATATTTTCCCGCTTTTTCTTTTATATTTTATGATGTTTGAACTGTTTTTTTTTGTAATTTTTATATTTAAAATATAACATTCGAATACGATATGAAAAATTTTTAAAATTTAATTTTTGAATTTAAAATTTAATTATTTGAAATATTTTTGAAATCTGATAATAATGAATTTACTATATTAATTCATAAATAAATATATTAATTCATAAAAAAATAAATAAATATATTGAATTTCAACAATTTAATATATAATCTTTCAAAACTTGATGAAGTAAGTAAAAAGCGCAGACGCAACTAGAGTATTCTAAACGGGTGGTAGTACGAAGTTTACTAGTAATCAATGGCGTGACATAGCACACTTAAAACTTGAAGATCATTAGTGTAGACAGTATTGAATTTAACTGTATTAAAAATAGTTATATTAACCTGGATCCTATAATGTTGTGTTTCATTATTATCAAATAATCGCGTATTTAAAAAAAATACTATTTCTTGATAAGTATAATAACAATTATACATTATTTTTAATTTGAAAAATAATATTCTTTTTAGACACTGTAAAATACAATTTCTCTGCTAAATACTGTATTATTAGATTTTCTTAATACGGCAGCCATAAAACATTTTAATTTAAAGAATTGTTGAAGCAACAAAAAATGAAACAATCATGTGATATAATTACAATAAAATTAAAATGATAATGTATATAATATATAATAAGTAATTAAATGCATTATGAATGGTGGATCAAATATAAAATATGCTATTATAATCTTTGATGAAAAATGTAAAGAAGGTATGTCATATTTTGTGATTTAAAGAAATTTGTTTATAAAATAATATATATTTAATATATATTAAATGTAATAAATAATAAATTATAATATTAATACACATTTTTATATATTATTTACAATAAAAGATTTCTTTATAATAATAAATTTCTTTATGTTCTTTTAAAAATTATAATATTTGAAATAATATTTCATAAAAGATATATATTTTATTAAAATGACATAATTTAATATTTTTTCTTTTAAATTTAAAGAAATTTGAAATAACTATTTATATAATTTTGTACATAAATAATATTATTTATAAATATATA